CATTAGACTCATCATTTGTACCAGTCTGCCCCATTCTCTGCTGCTCTGCCATAGTCCGCCTTGTGTCCTCACAGCCCAGCCTCTCTGTTTATCTGCATCTAGCAGCTGTATATTCAACTGTATGTAGTTATTTGTGCTGTTGGAGAGTGGGAGAGACCGCCTCCAGTCTGCCCATGTTACTGTTCAATGAAGGAAGATAAATCATAAATGAATGAGTAGGACTAGTGAATGCATCTCCACCTGTGTTTTCTTAACAGCCCCACAGGGAACATGGCAATCAAGCACTTTCTTGCTTTAACATGTCTCTGTAGTTGCCCATATGATTACATAATAATAACAATGCAGTTATCATTTATTGTCGAGAGGGTATATTAATGCATAAAAACAAAGGCAACCAAGGATAATAAGTTTGTACTCTAATGCAATTATCAACAAAACGTAATATACAAAACCATGTGTACACTGTAATGTAAGGTCAAAAAGAATCAAAACTGAATTTCAAAGGAATACAAATTTTATCTTTTATCATTTTCTATGCTATGTAAATTTCAGGTGGAAGGACCAACACCTGTTCCATGGAGATGTTAATGCTTTCCCTGGAATGTTCATTACACTTATCTACCTCTATGGAGAAAAGCAGGCATATTTGTATTTTTTAGCAATAAATATTTAATGAATGCAATATCTCCATGGAGAGATTACAAATTACATATTGCACCTTTAAATGTATGAGTATATCTAAGAGCTTAGTCATGCACTTTATGAACCAGAATGTGTTTAGATAAACTTTAACACAAAGTTGGGCCTCACCTCGCACAGCATTTGCCTCCATGATAGCAGCGGCGGCAGAAGATGAGGAGGACGGACGTGACAGTGAGAGTTCCTACCAGAAAGATGGACAGAATCACCAGGAGGAGCACATAGCCGTTTCTCTGCTCCTCCACTTCAACTGCGATCTGCAGAGAGAAGAACCAGAGAGAATGTAATCCTATAGAACATTTCATTATAATACCATGCACTCTATAAGACCACAGTTTGACCAACACTAAATGGAGCTTCAACTGCAGTATAATAATTTTGTCTGAAACACATGTCACAGCCAGTAACATTCACAATGTGTGAATAAAGCTACAGTTTCTATTTTGCCATGAAAGAATTGATTTTACTTCTTTCCTGAGACCACATTTTCTCTTTTTCAGGCATGGTACTGATGGATATGCATTCTTTATGTGAGCTGGGTTCGCCTCTAAACTTGGCCTTGTGGTATCATCTGCTTGTCTCCATGGAAATAGGTACATTTAATGCCATGTTGTGGAACTTCCAGTCAAGCAGTGCAATATCTCAATGGAAACAACCAGATGGGTAACTTTACCAGAAAAGTTGTATAGTGCACCTTTAAAGCTGAATGTCTTTTACCTTCCTTTCATAATAGTCTATAATTGATTCCTTTCTTGGCTCTACCTTCTCATTACAAATAGAGTGATATTTATATGACAGGAGGCTGTCTTTATGATCTACGTAGACTGTGTGTCATACGTGTTAATGAACCCTCCAGTCTGACGTCAGGTTGTAATGTTGCTACACGGGGGAAATGAAAGATAAGATTAGAACCCAGATTTAATTATTGGAAGTCCAGGTCAGGATGTTCCCTATTAGCCAGTCAATCGGTCAGACGAGCACAAGGGGGTAAGCATGGGTTTGGCATGTAAACACACAAGCAGATGCCGGAAGTGGTTAAAAGATGATAGGTGGAAAGACTTACCGTGGAGTTTTCTGGTAGGATGTTCCATACGGTAGACTCATTGCTCATGGTCCAGGCCAACTAGTGAGTCGCCCTGAGTGACAAGAACATAAAAAACCTTCAGTGGTTAGTGATGATGAGAAAAACATTCAAATAATTAAAGTCAAGTCTTCCTCGTGAAATAACACTTTGCTATCATCATGAACTTGTCTTCTTCACAACTCTCTGACTTCCTGTTACCAATGCCAAGCAATAAATGAGGGTCCGGTACTAGTACAGTGACTTGTGGCCCCCTGTGGTTGTAACCTCTTTCATCATTTAACCATGACAGCTACAGTAATGTTGTCATTTGCTTGTTTAACTTTGCAATATATTGTACATCAAGTGATCTCATCTATCTATATATACTGCATATATCTACCATAATCAGAACAAGACAACTTTGTTTCTTTACAAACTTTTAGCTGAGATGCTGACTGAATAATTAAAATGGCAAGTTGAGAGTGATTGATCATCTTCAGCAAATCATTTGTTCTTCTTCTTCTTTCTTCTCTCTGTCACACCAAATAACTTCCCTGAGCTGTGGCTAATCTGGTATGACAGTCATGTTGGAATTTGCCTTAAATTTAGCACTTATGTCAGATGTTGTTTCTTACATAACCATCATAATTTATCCAGGATTAGGACTGGCACAAGGATGCCAAGATGATGGTGCAGTATTGCTAATAACAAAATATTAATAACATGTCAAATATCAATTACAGTAAACACGTACTACTTAAAGCTGCACTATGGAACTTGGTTGGTTGGTTCTCTATAGCTCTAACCTGTTACTCGCTTGTCTTCATGAAGAAAGATAAGTTTAATGCTAAAGTCTGGAACATTAGAGATAACACAATACAAATCCATGGAGACAAGCAGGCTAACAATCCAACAGAAAAGTAACATACTGCATCAAACAAGAAATCATGTTGCATCCTAAGTGAAAACATTTCAAGCCAAGTGTTTGTTTAGTTCCAGCTTGTGCAACATATCCAGCATCACCAACACCAAAGATACAAATGTTATCACCTCTTTGCCTGTAGACCATCATCCATAATCCCACATCAACCCAAAGAGTCTATGTTTCACCAGGCAGTAGCCACCCACACAAATGCAGTAAGGCTTGGAGAGGGGAGAGAGAGAAACAGGCAGCCGCTCTAACAACTCAGTCCCACTACTGCTGCTATGCGTTTTGCTTGTGTAGATCATAGCCATTAATACCTTTACTTCTGCACCAAACGCCCACACATACACACACCTAGATGGATCCACACAAGCAGCAGGGGAGCAGCATACTGGATTTACTCCTTCCTGGTTTCACCACTATTTGGCACTCAACTTTAGCAACACGTTAGCTTTGCTTGAGCTATACTACAAATTCTCTGAACCTGGTATCCATAGACATAAAAAGCTCCGACCAGATTGCTTCCTTCTACTTCTGCCTACCCTACATCCTGCTTTCTTCTTTGATCTTACCGTGATGGTGGGCAGCTTGCATGCAGCTCTGAATATCTGTATCAGTCTATAAGAGAGAGAGAGAATGAGGGAAAATCCTCTTCAGCTCCCGTGCTGCATCCTCAGTCCTCTCTGCTGCCAACTGAGCCGGAGCAGCAACTCTGTCGGTCACACTTAGGGCTGGCCCACTGGCCTGAGGGCAACAGGACAGCTCTGGTACATATCTGAAACAACATAACGTGAACCAGTAGATTAAAACATATTAAACAAGAGAATGTGAGGTGCACAGAAGCCGTATTCATGTTTCACCATATGGCTATAACGTAGCTATAATTGCTAAAAATTCTACTGCCTTTTTACTGCATGGTACTTGTCTTTCGATGGCATTATTGGGCAGATGGTAAGACACGGGTGTCCCAGTAGCACTGGCTCGTCCAGTTAACAAGAATAAATATTTTCATGAACAATCCCTTCGTTTGTGGCTATGCTGTTACATTGTGTCTAAATCATGTGAACAAAACACCAAATCACCGTTCAAAACTATAAAACCTATTCCTTGTACGAATGAAAAAGAATCACCGCGTTTCTGGCTGTTACTGCATTTTCTCGGAAGAAAAAAATAAATAAAATAAGCATCGACCCAAGCATGTTAGGGCCAAATTAGGTTAGGCTACATGATGCGCACAAAGACTAGATGAAAGAAAACAAACAAGCTGTTAAAACGCAGTAAAAATATTAATAAAGATGGCATGTTGACATTTTTCAGTCGCTAATTCTTTTCAAGAGTCCGCTTTCTCCGACAGAGAAAAGGTAGAGCCACTGCACGACTGGAGATGGCTGCAAAAGCACAATGAACCCACTAACCTCCTCAGTCACCGTCCCGGTCCATGAATCGTAAACAACTGCACGCTCTCTGGGAACACTTTAATGTGGATTTTAAGCCTAAAAGTATTTATGAATGAATCCCCACTGTTTAGGGCACGCCCACCGCCCCAGTCAGAGACGCGCCACGTGACGCAAGAGTGAGGTAAAGGATAAAGGCGAGTGACTTAAGGCTCCCACAAACTCTCTTATGTGTGGACAGGGTGGGTTCAAGAACTTAACTCTTGTGATACATGAAATGTTTTATTAATATTATAGGAATAATGGCTTCGCTCAACTGCCAAGAGCATATCATGTGCACCTGCAATTTATTATAAGCCTTATCTGTTTAAGACTACTGTTTAGGAGATGTGAGGTAGCCTGTCTCAATATGGATGGATATGGTTCAAATTAACATTATATTTGAATGTCTTACCAGACGTAAAGTTTCTAGAAAACACCCTCCTGCACTTAACTACCATTCCTGCAAAATGCCCCAGTGTTTTGGCGCCATCTACTGGTGGTCTGTAAGACTTGCAGTCTTATTTGGACTTGTGCAGCATTTTCGTCTTCCTTTGAAAGCTGATTATTATTTTTCGTCTGTTTTGAATAGTTTTATAATCACAGGCTAAATGAAACAAATAGCATATATTCGAATGACATTTTTCTGTGCATTTCTTTGGCCTTTAAAAGCAGATGGTGCAAAGTTTGTCTGCATTCAGCCGTGTCTATAATTGCAAAAATAAATAAAAATAAATATATATGGAGTGAGAGAGAGCGAGAGAGAGAGAGAGAGAGAGAGAGAGAGAGAGAGAGAGAGAGAGAGAGAGAGAGAGAGAGAGAGAGAGAGAGAGAGAGAGAGCGCGCAAAAAAGACTACATTTCCCATGATCTTTTGCAGAGCCGTGTAGCCCTATGGGTAGAGTACCAACGTCCTTGTCCTGTATCCAGCGCACACCGACTGGTTTCACTCAAGGGGAGTTCTGTCATTCACTGAACAGAAATCAAACCACAGTAAAATGCTGGCTGCCCGGTTCCTCCGCCGCTCTCTGCCGGTGCTGAGACAGGCCCGAGCCTACGCCGAGGCCGTCTCTGGAGCTCCGCAGATGTCCTTCACGTTTGCCTCCCCGACACAGGTAGCAAGCTAACGGGCTAGCACACCGCCTATGTCCGTGGCTCATCAGGCCCAGCTACTTGTCCGGTTTTCCTGTGATTTGCAAGAAAATGTCCATATTGTTAGGTGTCGAGCAAATTAAAGGTTAACTACTCGTTAAACGTACAGTACATGTAGCATTGTCCATATAGATTTGATCTAGCGTTAAGCGCCTTCACGACCATTTAGCTTTAGCCGCGTTAGCTGTCATTCAACGTCTTTGAATAACTTTGGCACAGATTGTTCCTTATGAAGCAAATGCACCATAGAAAGCTATGGTATCAGAAGTTACTGTTTTTAGAGCTGCTGCATTACTTGCAACAGCTATCAGGCCAATGCATCAATAATAAGCTGTTAATTTAGTTGGTTGTGTACACATTTTAGTTTTGCTTTAGCCTGCACCAGACCTTCAAGAAGCATTATATTACTATCATCATACTATCATTGTATTCTCTGTGTGTATTTAATTTAAGTATCTCATGCTCACGTATTGTCCTATTTGAAATTTTCCCCCTCAGGTGTTTTTCAATGCTGCCAGTGTGAAACAAGTTGATGTGCCCACCCTGACCGGTGCGTTTGGTATTCTCCCTGCTCACGTCCCAACTCTCCAGGTGCTCAGGCCTGGTGTTGTCACAGTCTTCAATGAGGATGGCTCCTCTACAAAATACTTTGGTAAACTCCCAATCAAATTAAGCCTTGTGCTGATCTTTCGAGTAATACTTCCAACAAGAAGATATTGGATCCTGTCCTAGAACTCACTGTAAAACTTGTGTCTTGTTTGCAGTGAGCAGTGGGTCAGTGACTGTCAATGCAGACTCCTCAGTACAACTTCTGGCAGAAGAGGCAGTTCCACTTGACCAGTTGGATGTTGCAGTGAGTATAATGCATAATTATATAATGTATACAATTTTGTACGATACAGTGCATGCTTTTTAATCATTAAACTATATATTAATCATATCTTTGTCACCATCCAGATATTAACTTGTAATTGGTCAGATTTATAGACAGATTTATGACATGACCCTTGTGTCATGTCATATTTTGCAGTCCTAAGTAAACCAATAGTATTTCTTGGTGTATTATTTTGCAGATTAGTGCATTGTTGTCTAATGTATGGCAGTGTGTATCAGCAAATGTTAAAACTGACATTACATTGACTCTAGTCACACTAGTTGTCAATAGTGGTTGCTTGTAGGGATCAGAATGAATGCAGCCTCTAAATGTCACATGCGTTAGTGTAATTGTAGACGGTACATATTTACAAAAGGGGATTTAAAGATGTTCATTTTGTTAGTTCATTTTGAGCTTTCCCAGGGGATGATCCTCTCATCAATATTGCACTTGAACTCTGAGTCCATATTTAAATGTCATCCTTATTAATGCAGCCCTCTGTTGTATGCAGTAGCTGCAGAGGGCTCTGTTGTGACCTTGACTAGTGCCAGTGTCACTGTCAAGTTGACTACCAGCTAAATGAGTTATTTTCCCCTTGTCGTGTCTGAGTTCACAGTGAAAATGTGCACAGTCCCACACTGTTAATAAGGAAAGAAAGGTCAGTCACTGTTGAGTTATAGCAGATGTGTCAAATCCCCACTGGGAGACCTTTAACTTCCAGCTATGTTTGGCATTTCTCGTTTCTAATCGCTCCTGTGACAAATGGAGCTTTCCAAGATGCGAGGGATTTTCTCTGCTTGTCCTTCACCCCACTTTGAGCCTATTGTCGCCTCACTGTTTTGACTTTTGTTATTCCCAAAAAGGGTTGATTGCTGTGTCATCTATTCAACCCATGACTTAAACATTTTACCATTTGAAACAATTTACAGTAGAGATAAAATTTATATTTTTTATATTGTTCAATTCTCAACCCCCCTTTTTCTCCCAGGCTGCCAAAGCCAATCTAGAGAAGGCCCAGTCCGAGTTAATGGGTGCATCTGATGAAGCAGCAAAAGCAGAAGTTCAGATCTGCATAGAGGCCAATGAGGCCATTGTTAAGGCCCTGGAGTAAAACTGTGGTAAGGGTTTGTTTCAAAGTATGTTTGCGTATATCTTGAATAAGTACAGTATTTAAGCCATAGTAATTAATAAGTTATTTCTATTCCCTTTAGGTTTCTCTGGTTTCATTAATGGAAATCAATAATTCCTGTATTTCCAGCTTCAGTTTGTCTACATTGTATTGTACAGTCATTAAAATAAATTTATTTGGAATTATCTCTGTCTATGTTTTGTGCAAAGGGGGGAAAGCTATAAAATTGAAAGGCATTTGATATGTGTTCTTGAAAAAGAAGGCTTTGTGTAGTTTGATTACCTGCCACCTGGAGGCAGTAGATTGCAAAGAATAGAGAGGGTTCTTCTCTTGCGTCCAGTTTACACATCTCAAATCAGCAGGTCATAGCATTAACCTCTGTGGAAAAAATAATTCAAAGTACTTCCCTGTTATATAAAATACACATAAACCTACACAATACAATAGTATGTAGTTTTTACTCAAAGAACTGAGTCAAATGGTTGCTTACCTGTGGGTAGGAGTTATGTGGAACTAGCCTTTATGTCTGCTCCTGCTTATGTGAGTAATTACTTCACGCCAGGAAAAGTCATTTACTGACCATTTTGTGCAAACTGGGCTTACTACTTTTCATTACCGACATAACCACAAGTGACTACAGGAGACGTTGACCTTACTCTTGTGTTGATCCAGAGCCTTTAAAGAAGAAACCACAACCAGTTTATTTTCAAATGTCAAAGTTGCTGAGGGTTTGGAAAGTGGCACATAATTGGTACTACTGCTACTAATGTGAGTATACACTCGCAGATCTAGGTCAAAATACATAGAAGTGAGTGAATTATGTTTTCAGTACATTTTGACATTCATTTAAAAGCAGCCTGTGCAATTATCTTGATTAAAGCAAAGAACCATATCTCCTCTATAATTGGTAAATTGCACATCCAAGTCATTTCAAAGTCTATTCATTAACATGTGGTGTAGACAGACTACGTCTATGGTTGAAATCCATTAATTCCTGACCCTTTTTAAAACCTTCACACATCTTTTGTTCCTGTTTGCTGCCTGACTGTCTCGTTCGTCATTCCAGCTGTGCCACAAACACTCATGTATGTGTTCCCTGTATGAGTCAGGCTCCCTCAGGGCGCATAGACGCAAGAGTGATTGTACAGATTTATGACGGGGCTGGCTTCTTCACAAAATGTCAAGTTCATACCTGACCATATAGGAGATCTATTGAAGTGTATACAGTCTCAGATGTGCCACAGTGTTTTATATTTAAGAAACCTTTGTTTAACCAAAATCTTAATCAGACACAGTGTTCATGTGTGTTTTTACTAAGCACTGGTTTCATACAGTAATTGGAAATGATAGTCTTCCAAACCACATTACATCTAAATATATTTTCTGCATTTTTTTTCTGCCTTCTGAATCATTAAATTTCTCATGATTTTCTTCTCGTTCCAAAAATTCCCCCGAGACTACAATTCTGACAAATGTTAGTGTCTTTGTATAGTAAGTATTTTTGACTGATAATGGTTCCTTTTTTTCCTTTTTAAGTTGGATGAACAATAGTGGACAGTTTTAATCACAGCCATTTTTAAAGAGCCTATACTGCACAAAATTGACTGTTGTGAGCTTTACCTCATCAGAAACATTCCTGGAATTGTTGTTTCATTCACACATGTCTGAATAACCCTTTATTAGTCTGTCTCCATCTCCAAAGCTCAAAATGCTCTGTACCTTATGATGTCATGAAGCTGTACTTTTCAAATGAACAGGTCCTTTTCCCTTTTGTGCAGTAAAGACCAGCAATTCCAGACCTGAATTTATCTAAATAAAAATGGAGTGGAGTACTTCCTGTATTACCACATGACATCACAATGTGGAACAAAGTGTTTTCGGTTTGAGAGAAGACATTTGTGTTCAATATGTGTGAATAAAACAAAACACAACTCCGGGTGTTTTTGATGAGGAAACAGCATTATAACACAAATCAGAAAATAGTGTAATATGGGCCCTTTAATCATAATGAGCTGGTTATGTTAAGACTTTTGGTATTCAGTGTTTAAAAAGCTATTTACATTTGCCTTAGTAACTAAGGTTATTGTAGCAATGAACTTTCAACTATCCTTCAGACAAATTCAAACTGAAGAGTAATATATGAATGAATAAATCTACTGACATACTGCAGACTTGTGAGCTGGCTGGACAGTGCTCTCTCCTTGGTTATGGCAGACTCAACGATGCAGAAGTGGGACATGTGACTTTCGCCTCCTCTGACTTGAAACCCGTGGAGAGTCTCTTTAGAGCTACTCAAACTGAAACCTCTTCATCTCCTTTTATACAGGTGCACTTTATTAGCTCCATAAATTACGGCACACAATTCACACGCGCACTCCTGGCTGACATTATCACTCAATGTTAATGATGATTCAAGCGTTGGACAGCCTGAGAGAACTGCCTATTCATCAGCATTGTTGTGGGAAAAGTGAATTAGGTTAGATGAAAAATGGGACAAATATGGCTTGAAATGGGGTTGTGACAAATACCCTGTTTGTGAAAATGTGTTAAGACTGGGCAGGGCAGCTCCTAAATTATTATCACATCATATTTTGATGACCTAAATGACAGGTTTAATGTTGTCTATTAGTAATGTTTTTCTTTTTTGAATCATTATAGCTATACTGCTATTGTGTGGGTAAATTAAAGTGGGGGTGTCAAGAGGGTGAAAAGCCAATATTTTGTTCCAGTGATCTTAGAAGCTAAAAGATTAATTACATACAATTGAGTAATTTTATTTATTTGTTTTTTAATTTGATATCACTAATGCGTTAACTCTTATACAGGTGTCTCTGTAATTCAAGCTTAAGACCAGCACAGATATATATCACCTACCTATATTCTACCTTTACCAGTTCTTGTGTAAAAACAAAGACCTTTATACAAACAGAAATCAAATGAGCTTGCAGTGCTAGACAAAAGCAAATTCACATTCAGCATCTGTCACTGCAGTCCTCCAGCTTCCTTGCTTCCTGCATTTGCACTTGTGAGGTACGGTCAAGCACAGCTAAGTGTGCATGAAGGAGGTGGGGAGGATGGAGCGTGTACAGTGGCAGGCCTGCTATGAGAGAGCTACCCTATCCGCACAGGAGAAGCTGATTGAAGTGCTGACCTTTTGGTGATGCTGTGCAAAGAGGGGGCCTGTACACTCTCAGTCAGCTGTCAGATACTGCATCAGCCTGGAGTGGGAGTGAGGCCACGACTCCCACCTCCCACCAGTGTCAACCCTGCTTCTCCACCCACCCACCAACCCATCAAAAACACAGAGAAAACCAAGCACAAACATACACCGTACCCCCCTAAAACAGTTTTCTAGTTTGTGCCAGCTAGGTATAACATTTTCTCAAAATAGCACTGTGGCTTTCGGGAGAAAATTGCAAAGCCGCAAACACAAGGCGGTTGCTGCAGAGGTGAGATAATCAGCTTGTGGTAACAGCAAATGGCCCCTGAGTGGAAGGCAGGTAATGATTGTACCAGTGTTTTGTGGGAGAGGGACTGAGAGCTCCTGTCCTTATCTGTGTGTGTGTCTGTGCATATTCACTGGAAATAAGCAGCCAATGGAAAAAGGAACTAGTTTGAACAAGATGAACAAGAACAGGGACATGTGGATGAATTGGAACAAAAGAAGCAGTCAATTTTTTTTCTGAAGTTTTGTTCAAAAAGTAAAAAAGTATATATTGTTATATTAGGATCAGTTAGCAGCAGTACGTATTCCAGCTGCCTTGAGTGCAGTGAATTGTCATAATGTTAAAGGCAGAATTACTGTATTATTGTATACCAGAAATACAAAAAAAAAAAAGACATGATAGCACAGTCACAAGTTAAGCTGATCAAATTTACAGCTGCTGACTGGCATAATTAATAGCTAATTACTGTGAAATTAACAGGGATAACCAAATGAAACAGAAATACTATAATCACCTACTACTAACTGTACATACATAAAATTGCATTAATATGTTGAATTTATCTTATTTTCTTCATCATGAAAACACACTTGTAGTTCTATTTATACATTTATTTGAATTTGTTGATGTCAATATACATCAGCTCTGGTGTTACAGTGGGCTATAATTTATTCATTATTTGTAAATTTCTTACAGGATTCAGTTTGCTGTGCCAACATATTCAGTCCTAGTTCAGGTTAAAAACACATTTAGAAAACAGACGCCTGATCTAGATGTATCAAACTTAAGTGTATTTCCTAACCCTGACTGGAGATAAGTTTAGCTCCTCTCTTTGATGCACACCTTATGCACAAAGAAATACCTCCTCATATCTTCTCAGCTTTTTATGATGTCGAAGTCTCTAATTACAAGATTAAGATGCATATCCTTCAGATTCAAAGGCTAAACTTGAAAACAAAAATTATGTTTGAAGAAAAATCACTTAACCTTGCCCAGGGAAGTGTGATTGTGGCTGTGTGGCATTCCTAAATGGGGTGTTCACAAAGGTTGTGGAGAGTATCATCTGGGTGGGACCAGAGCAGTGTGTGTGTGTGGTCAATATTTCTACATGTACAGGGAATTTTTCATTGTAAGCCGAAGCAGGGGTAAGGTGAGGACAGTGTAGGTCTCATATAAGCAAGGGCATGTACAGACCTATGTTTAGGCCTGATACACAATCTCAAGTCATACTAGCTTAGGTCATGTGTGTTATTGAAGATGCAGCACTCACAGGTGGGGACTCAATGGGCTAGACTAAATATATGTCCTCATGAAGCAGTAGATGTGTTTAGGTCTTTTAAATGTTATCATTAACACTATATTAACATATGCTTTCAAGCCGCAACTCTTCTGGTTCAACGTGTAACTTTAACGTAAACATATACTGTTCAACATTAACCATGAAATATAAATCAGTAATACAGTAATAATTCTGGTGGAGGGTCTGCCTACATTGTTCTCTCCATGAAGATGAAATAAGCTTTGCTTAGATAATGTCACAGTATGGTATTAAACTTAACTACCTCCATCATAACAAGCCTCCATCAGCTGCCAGCAGTCAGATCCATGCAAAGGATGTCCTGCTGACTCTAGGTGTGTATGTTCTTTGAGCAATAAAAACACCTATAATTGAAAGAATGGTAGGTGGATACACTGTGGAACATTTCAGACTAAAATAATATAATCTCCAGGGAGACAAG